ATGATTGGACAAATAATTATAACAATGATTATGTAAGGATGGGATTTAAGAATTGGTTGAAAAATCTTGATCAACTTACTGTTTCGGCTTTTACTAGTTTAAGTAGGAGAGGTGATCATTAAGCCATGATAGGAAGTAATCATGTAGCAATAATATTACAAATATTTTTTTAAGAATCAAGTATAAGCCAACGTTATGGCTTCTGAAGCCACTATTTGGCAATTTTGCATGCTAAAGTGCTTCTTTTGACATTCAATTGTATACAGATATTTATTGATTAGACTGGGGATTGACTTTGATTTTGACTTGTCCTAAAATTGTGGAAATTATTCACCAAGACTAATTAGGATGTGTTATTCAATATTTTGGATAGATTGAGGCCATTGGAGGCCGTTTGGTTGGTGTTCTAGACGTTGCAAGGTTGGAAAACTTCTTGTTAACGAAATAAGTGAGACTTTAAGTTTTGATGTTAGCTTTTCAAATCCTGCTTTTAAATTATGTTTCGTCTGCATGGTCCACGTATTGGGACGAGCATGTGCTTGGCAGAATCGGTGGTCTTTGTCTAGCCGTGAATATTTAAAATGCTGCAATTATTTAATGATTGATTTGTTGTGTGGTGTGGCTTCATGCCATGGCGTTGGAGCATTGAATATTATTTCTTCGCTGCCATAATATACTTGGGGCATTAGGTATGCCACCGCGATAGAATTGGAACATAGTGTACGCTGTCGTAGACTTGTTAGGGTGTTTGGTTAATTTTCCTCCACCGCCGAATGTGAATTTGCTATCATGGCTTACTGATTACATCTCCTAATTAAAAATTAGTAAAAGCCGAAACAGTAAATTCAAATAGATTTTCCAACCAATTTCTAAATCTCATCCTTATATAATAATTACTATAATTATTTGTCCAATTATTAGCAAATTATTATATCCCTAATTTAAAGGAGTGAAAATCAAAATTGTTATCAGCAATAAAAATGCTTCATAGCAAATTCTATAATCATTCCATATTAATTCATCAATCATGGCATAATTATTACCTATACAATTATTCTATTCCTAATCATTCTCATTATCATTACTAAATCATTGGAGTCAATCATTATGGGTCACAAATTACCATAACAGAACTAGCAGAAGCCGTAACTTTTCTTCTCAAATTGTAATCAAACATATCTTTAATTCCTTAATCATTGCACAACTATTACAATATAATTATTATTTAATAATTACTTCCAATCATTACAACATCATTAATTCATTATTGTCATCGTTATAATTCTTTCACAAAAGAATTACAACAACCTGTAATTAACCAAAGTTAACTTTCATAACTAACACTATAAATTCCTTAGGCTAGCTCTTTCACGTTACCAACAATATCCCGAGGCCTCACCGTTTGATTCCTTTTTTTTCTTTATCAAATGTAACCATAGTATAATTCCTAAGATAAATCTGACATGAGGATATTAAAAAGGATGGGCTTAGCCCACTTGTTAACCTTTTAAATAATAACTAAAGTTACTTACCTCTAATTCTCAATTTGTAATATGTAATTGGTCCACTAGCCACTTATTTAATACACTATCTTATATATTATAATAAATTTTCTTCCACTTAGTGTTTGACCCAATAATTATAAATAAAATTAATTATCCAATCTCATAATTAATAAGTATATATAAAAAATTGGGTTATTACATACACTAGCCCCAATATTGGAATTTACCATAAGAAACTATCTTCAGCAGTTAGTTTAAATTAGTTTTCTTATTGAGCTAGTTTAAATCCTTTAAAGTAATGATTTTGACACAGATAAAGAGTTATGCTAAATCCTTAGAAGTAATGATCTTGACAAAAAACTTTGATTAAAAAATTTGAGTTTGCACTTCCCGTTTTCCCACGTCATTTTTCCCACGAAAACGAAAAGAGTTAGTGGAGCAAAGCAAAGAAGTAATCAACAACAGTGGAGGAACTAGCAACATGTGATATAAATTTATGGAAAAACCATAAAATTTATATTGGTTAAGTAAGATTCTCAATCAGTATAGACACATCACGCATAATAGTTCTTATTACATTGGAAAGACTTGAATTTGTGATAAACCTTGGTTAAGCATCACAGGTAAAGATCCATGACAATTACGTCACAACATTTTGAATAGACATGTCATTAGATTAATTAAACTGACCTCCTTTTCAATATGAGATATAATTTACAATTGAGCAAAATTCTGGCAAATAACAGTTGCAGCAACCAAGTGCGTATAGAGACGATTTTTCTTAAGTTCACATACAAAGTGCATATAGGCTGTTATCCTTAAATGCAGTATGTGTAAAGCATAAGATTCAAACAGTTGTTAACCACAAAATTCCCTTTGATCTTGGGATTCAACAATATTATACTAATAAGCAGAGCAAAGCAAATCATATTCCTTATTCAAATTTTAGATAACATAATCTCAAGTTATTGAGAGAGAAAACAAATTCCATAATCAAGGCTAACAGATGAGCTAACTATACGTTCACAAAAAGTATCATAGAACAGATATAAAAGATCCTTTTCCATTAATTTCAACTAACACCAGTTACCGATAGAGTTTTCTCCCTTGATCAGAATTTTCCTTTTTAATTAAAGAAAAAGCACAGGTATAATCTTTGTTTGATGAATGATAGCACATAATTAATATGCTAGGAGTAAATCACTTAAGTGTAGATTGAAACAGAAAACCTTACAATGTTGGCAATAACTTGCATAAATAGCATTGTTTACAACACCATACTGATCCAATTCATAGTCCCGGACTTTGAGTTCAATCTCATGGAATTCACTCATTCTGCAAAGCAAAGAGCATACTGTAAGCTCATAATCAGTAGAAAAAGATTGACTATGTCAAAGAGCAAATTGAAAACATCAATTCTTGCTGAAATTTAATTAAATTACAGAAAGGTAAATCCAAAATAATGCTCGACTAATAAAGATCAAAGATTCTCCTGATTCTCTTCCAAAATAGCTTTTTTCCAGAAATCTGAAGGGAAAAATATATTAAAATTGAATCAGTGAGTTGTCCTCCATTATAGAAGTTGGATAAGTCATAAACCCCTTATACCGATGGAGAAAACATAGTTCTAAATTCAATCTAGCCAATCAATCAACTATATCTCAAATCCAAACTAGTTGAAACCCACTACATAAGCCCTTGGTAAACAAAAATATGTATATATACCACATGTTAAATCCTCTTGGCTTCTTCATATGTTCAATTTTTTATATTTTGACACCCATTAATGAAAATCTTGTGTATGATTTCATCAGCACATTTATCAGTAAAATCATGCTTAAGTGGTATTATCACTTTAACTTTTAACTGCCAAGGTTAAATTGCTTGGTTTGGTGTACACACCGCACTAAGTCACACATGCCAATAAATTCAGTGTTGAGAGAATTTAACATAATTAGACTTATTTTATATCGATCTTCAACCTAACAACCCTCATCATTTAACCAAGCATGAATGCAACTATGTTGTCACATAGGATGAGTTTGAATAGAAGCTACAGTAATTTTTGGAAGAAAAAAAAAACATACCCTTGGCCACCTTTGAGATCAAATGCATGAGCTGAGAAACTCCTCAATTTACTGCGCGATGACTGTAAACGCTGAACCGGGAGTTGCCGGTGGGAGATGACCGGAAAAGTAGACGGTGGCCGATGATAATTTGGCCTTATTGGGTTCGCAATTGAGGTGGGTGTTGTCTGTACAATGCGTATCAAAGGGGAAACTAGGGTTTGCGACATTTTTTGTCGCCAAAACTCGGCGATAACTGCGATGATGGCGAAGAATTGCAGAGGTGCAAAAGAATAGACGAAGATTGGAAACGACGGGGGAAATTTATTTTAGGTTGTTAAGCGTTAAGGTTTATGCAACGGCTAAAAGGACTTTTCCTGTCTGCCGCTGTTTTAGAGCACGTGTTAGGCTCGTCACCTGGAGTGTTAAAACAAGTAAAGCTCAAAATTTTTCTGTTTTTTGTTTTTTTAAGAATTTTTGTTTTCTTCTTCTGCGTTTGGTATGACAGAAGCATTTACCATCAAAAATATTTTATGTTCTATTGAACATATTATTTGGTCGGTGAATGAAAAATATTTTCCAGAAAAAAACATATATTAAATTAAATTTACTTCCTCCGTTTTAATTTATGACTGTGCATGAAATTTAAGAAAAAATGAATATTTTTTAAAATTTGTGGTCATAAACAAATCAAAAAGGGCCCCAAAATATTTGTGTGATTATAAAAGATAAAAATAGCACGGTATAGCCAGTTTACGGACTGATCATTCAAAAATAGCCAGCGTTTACAAAGTCAATGAAACATAACCATTATTTTGCTGTAACAGATACCGGTCCAGCATAATATATTGGAGTTCGGTGCACCTGTGTATGAACTCCAGCATATTATGCTGGACCGGTATACTTTGCTGACTCCAGTATATTATACTGGACAATTATACTTGCTGGAACTCCAGTATATTATGCTGGAGTCCTAGTGTACTTATGTTGGAGTTCCAGCATACTTATCCTGGAACTCCAGTATAATATGCTAGAGTTCAAGCATACTTATGCTGGAACTCCAGTATAATATACTGGCGTATTTTCCGGGTTTTGAACAGTGTTTTTGCTCAGATTTATCTTTACATAAAATATGACTAAATTTTGATTACTTTTGAAACTGGGCTATTTTTGAACGACCAGTTGTAAATCTGGCTATTTTGGAATTTCTCCCTTATAAAAGTTCTTCATTAACGGTAGAATTGTAAGCTTGAACTAAATTGTTTCCAAATTTAGAAAGCGGTCATTCTTTTATGAACGAACCAAAAAGAAAATACTTCACGTGAACTGGGACGGAAGGAGTAATAATGATATCAAAACTTTTGAGTACTATATGAATAGCAGTAATACTTACTTGAATAGTTATGATATCACGAACACATCCATGATATAACTTGAAAACTATATATTATACAGACACAAGAAATAATTTCAGAGTCTGTGATTTAAGCATAGTGAACTCTGCTCACTGCTTTCAGATTACATCCATAAAAGTAAAATAAATCAATTAAAGTTCTACAAAGGGTGCAGGGAGCGCTAAATAATCATTCAACCTCAATCTTCTTGCAGTCACAAATGTACTCTACAACTGTAAGAGAGTTCCTTTTACCAACACTGTCTATGTAATCTCATTCTCGTAGATCAAAGGAAACATTAGAGAGAGGGAAGGGTTGGCTTGTGTCAAATTTCAAACATGGAGGTATCAAATTTCACCGTATTTCTGACTTTATACACGAGGTGTGTGTAAACTGTAGTAGTATTATATTTAACTTTCCTGACAAGTCGTTCCAATTTTTGTGCCTGATCATTGGATTGTCTTCACTGTTCCCTGCGATCACACATGATCAATACTGAATGAAATTTTCCAGAAGTGATCAAACTAAGAGAACGAACCAACACAAAACGCACGGAAAAAAAATTTGACCTGATATAAACTTAAATGAAAGGGAAGGGATATACCCCGACTATGGAATCCCTCCAATATTATGAATCAGGTAACTTTTCCACAAATTCAACTGGCACGATGGGTATAGAGTCCCACCACTCCTTTAATCTCCGATCTACTTTCTCATCTTGCATGTATTTCCCAATCTTTGATGTCGCCACAAAGAGGCACAATGTCAAAGCCATAAGGATAAACTTGAAAGGAACCACCGCTAATATTACAGCTGCACCAACCATTGCCACCATTACCAAATCTGCATGCTGTAACCACCCATCAAAAATTAGTAAAGGATCCAGGTCATCTGTTACGACAAAGTTTAGGAAAGAATTACAAAAGATGAGTCCATTAACATTTTCGCTATATCTCGAGAAATTTCCTAAACGAATATCAGCTAGAACAGTTGGTACCTTTGGAGCCTTTGAAACCAATATGGACCAGATTTTCAGTAGTATTACGTTCATGCTCTGAACCAAGTCATAGACATTTCTTAGTCCGTGTTGTGCTGACACTATGCTTTCCATCGTTGTCTGATCAGATCCAGTATAGATAACTATTTTATTCGCCTTTTCTACTATCCTTCTTTGTCTTGCCCATAGCATTGTACCAACCGTCCCCAATAAGAGAGCTGCTATTGCTTTGCCAACACACTCTCTATATTTGCAAACATCCGATCCATTAGTCTTTTCCAGATTTTTCAGTCCAGTTTCTTCAACTAAGATAAATAATATAGAAGGAATTAAAATACTTACGTGTAAATAACTAGAAGCGCAGTCAACATAGCAATGGAACTACATAATGGTCTCTCCCATGAAAACACCTCTTGAAGATAAGGAACTAACCTCCCAAATGGTTTGAGAAGACCCTAAATAGTAAAGATTAAAATATATATAAAAAGGACATTTCGTTAGGCTATTTTGAAACAATGCATCAGCCTAGTGTAAATGCATATTCAGAAAATCTTCAATTAATATAAGGTGATACGAAGTTCTAACTATGGTTCTCAAGCTTCAGTACTGGTTATGAATACCTGTTTTTTCTCTCTTTCACCTTCCCTAAATTTATAATTATATAGGAGACATGATATGCATGCATTTTCTTGAATCAACCGGCAGCACTTACCATAAGAACCTGGACACTGTTCCCCATTCCTTCCCCTTTGAGCTCCTCAACAGTAGCTTTGGCCTTTTCAATTTCCTTTGCTTCCTCTCTTGCTTGATCAATAGCACTCTCCAATGATGAGACGCTGTCATTTTGGACTGGGAGGCGGCTGTTGTCGTCGATTTCTTTTGCCGCTTCACTTGGAACCAGTGACAGGGAGATATTCAGGCTTCTCAAGATTGAGCTAGCACTACATGAGTGTCCAGTGTCAGCTTTCTTCAAACTCGCGGCAAGCTCTTCAAGCACATAGTCTCCCTTTGGCAACTCATCGAGCAAATCAAAAATTAAAAAATTCTTGGGAACGGGTGGCGAGATCCTAAGCATTTCTCTAGCTGCATGAAGCCTTATAATCCCTAGTACTGTTCTTGCGTGCATCTCCCGTGATCCTGAAGGTGAATCAACCTTAAACTTCCGTAAAAACCGATGTAAAAATATAACCTCCTTTATTAGAGCAAGCCAGTGGTCTCGCCTTGTTGAGCTTGTCATTTCTGGGAATTCCAGGACAACCGATTCTTCCCTAAATTTTGACAAATAAGCCAAAGTAAATTCTCATTCTACTATTGACATCATTTGCACAAACATGGTTCTTGAAGCTGTTGAAGTTGTCAAACTCCCACATCTGTTGGGGGGAAAAATTGTTGGAATTTTTCCCTTATAAAAGGAGGCCTAATGTTTAGGTTTTAAATACACCTCTCATTTCCCTTCTTATCTTCTTAAGACATTTGTATCTTCTCTTTAGTATTATTTCACTTGTATTTTTGGAGTGGANACACACCTCTCATTTGCCTTCTCTTATCTTCTTAAGACATTTGTATCTTCTCTTTAGTATTATTTCACTTGTATTTTTGGAGTGGAATAAAATATTGGTTGTATCCGAGAAAGTAAGCAAAATTGGTCGAACCTCGTAAATTCTGGTGTTCCTTTTATTGTTGCTTTATTGTCTTATTTATTATTTGGTGGCTGTCATAATTTTTGGTATAGTAGTTGTGACTCATTCACACTATATACATTTGGCTTCTGCAACAATTGGTATCAGAGTCAAGGTACTGTCTAAGTATGCTCTGTGGTTGCAGCATAGTCTGATCTTCCACATCAGAAAAGATTTATCTTGGTAACTGAGTCAAGGTTCTGTCTGAGTATGCTCTGTGGTTGCAGCTTAGTCTGATCTTCCACACCAGAAAGGAAATAATCTTGATTTGTGTCGTCAGCTATTAAATAATATTTGTGTCAAAGATGGGAGACAATAAACAAGAAGAATCTACATCAAGTGTCAACAATACGTCATCATTGGCATCTTCGCTTATGACAAGAATTGTGTCAAATGCGAAATTTGCGGTAGAAATTTTTGACGGGTCAGGACATTTTGAGATGTGGCAAGGTGAGGTTCTAGATGTCCTTTTTCATCAAGGGCTAGATCTTACCATTGAAGAAAAAAGACCAGATGTTATTGGAGAAGAAAATTGGAGAATTATCAACCATGTTGCTTGCGGTACCATTCGATCCTACCTTGCTAGAGAGCAGAAATATCCATACACAAAGGAAACTTCTGCAAGTAAATTATGGAAAGCACTGGAGGATAAATTTTTGAAGAAAAACAGTCAAAATAAATTGTACATGAAGAAGAGACTGTTTCACTTCACCTATGTTCCTGGTACCACGATGAATGAACATATCACCAGTTTCAATAAGTTGGTCACAGATNTTGTGAGGGGTCGTCCTCAAAATCAAATGAGGACAAAGAAGGGAAGATCCAAGTCAAGATCTAGACCCAGCAAAGATAAATGTGTCTTTTGTCGAGAAAGGGGACACTAGAAGAAAGACTGTCCGAAGTTGAAGAATAAGGCCAAACATAACAATGGAAAGACCATTATGAATTCAAATGTAGTTGTTGTGATGATTCAGACCTCTCATTAGTTACAACAGAGCCATCAACATCAGCAGACATATGGCTGATGGACTCGGCTTGTAGCTATCATATGTGTCCCAACATGGACTGGTTCGTGGATTTTCAAGAATGAAAATATGGAGTCATCCACACAGCGGATAACAGCCCTCTTACCTCATATGGCATTGGTTCAATACGATTAAGGAACCATGATGAAATGATCAGAACATTAACAGATGTTCGATATGTACCGGATTTGAAGAAGAATCTCATCTCTGTGGGAGCCCTAGAATCAAAAGGGTTCAAAATCATTGCAGAAAATGGAGTGATGAGAGCATGCTCTGGTGCACTAGTGGTAATGAAGGTCAATCGGAAGAACAATAACATGTACCGTTATCGCGGTAGTACAGTTATTGGGACAGCGACAGTAACATCCAGTAACGAAAAAGAGGCAGAAGCAACCAGGCTATGGCACATGCGCTTGGGACATGCTGGAGGTAAATCCTTGAAAACTTTATCAGATCAAAGATTGTTAAAAGGAGTAAAGGCTTGCAACATGGAGTTTTGTGAGCATTGTGTCAAAAGGAAACAGACAAGGGTTAAATTTGGTACAACAATCCATAATACTAAAGGTATTTTGGATTATGTACACTCTGATGTTTGGAGTCCTTCCAAAACACCTTCATTGGGTGGGAAACACTATTTTGTAACCTTTGTTGATCATTTTTCCCGAAGAGTGTGGGTGTATACAATAAAGAGCAAAGATGAAGTGTTGTGAATTTTTCTCAAATGGAAAATGATAGTGGAGAATCAAACAGGCAGGAGGATCAAGTGTATTCGCACAAACAATGGAGGTGAATACAAAAATGATCATTTTAATAAGGTCTCTGAAAATAATGGCGTCGTCCGACACTTCACTGTCAGACATACACCACAACAGAATGGAGTGGCAGAACGTATGAACCGGACCTTGCTGGAGAAGGTACGGTGTATGTTGTCCAATGCTAGCTTAGGCAAAGAATTTTGGGCTGAGGCAATTACATATGCATACCACCTTATTAATCGTCTACCATATGTTGCTATTGATGGCAAGACACCATTTGAAAAATGGTATGGAAAGCCTGCTGTAGATTATGA